GACCTACATTCTTCTTGTGACCTCCTTCCTTCCACTCTCTCTCCTCATGTCAACGGGACTCTTGAGAGCCCCCCACGTGACACCATTTCTGAGAGTGACGTGAGAAATTTCTGTATTAAATACCTTGTGAAATGTGTTGAATTCCTAAAAAATTTTTTTTTTACTTATTTTTTGCAGTTGATGACTTTTTGTGCATGTGAGAAATGTGATTAGGAGCTTATAGTTTGTGAGCATATTATAAAAGAACTAAGAAATGTCTTGTATAAGTGAAAGTGTTGTTACTGTTAATGAAAACTACATTATGAAATAAAAAGTAACACTAACAATTGAAGAAAAAAAAAACATTTTTCATGACTCCAAAAGTAAATAAAATGTGTAAGTTGGAAAATACTGTGAATATGCTTTATTCATTTGTGATCACTACATTTGAATTAGTTTTGCTCTATATAATACATATTTTATTTGCAATAGCAGAAGCTATTTTAGTATTTTTAAAAGAAATTAATACTTAATTATACTAATATCATTATATTAAGTAATATATTTCTGTCATACTTTCTTCAATTTAAACCAAACTTTTATTTTGACTGGTTGCTTTGAAGACCTTTAAGTTTCTGTTTGTATATGATATGACAGTCATTTTTCTCAAAAGAAACATTAAAACGCACATGAAGTTAGTCTAAGAGCAGTTGTAGAAATTATATTCATATGTCCGACATGGACATATGAATATAATGTCTCATATATTGAGCTGGCAGAGGCTGAAAACACTGAGCGTGCTTCAGTTTGTGTTTAGTAAACGAAACTGTGTGTCTGTGCTATTTATTCACACAGAGACACGCACAACATGCGAGATTAATATTTAAATAGTCTTTTTGTGGGTTAATAATCACAAACACTAGGCCATATCGCATTTTGATTTAAGTGTACTGACCTACTTTTGATTTATTCATCCAAAATTCTGCAAAATCTGTGACATTCCGTGTTATACAGCAAATACCATTTTTATGATTGATTCCGCATTCTGTCCATGTTTTCCACATCTCGGAAATCACAGGGCCCTACTTAAAGGTGCAGTAGGAGATCTTGGAAAATGCTAACTTTAGCCTGATAGCACTGAAAGCGAACGTCCCACCCTCCCTGCAATCGCCATCCAAAGCCACGCCCCCTGAATGCATATACGCTCACAGACCAGAATGCCAGAAACAACATTACTACAACAGGCTACATCAGCGGTTCCCAATTCCAGTCCATGTTCTGAAGTTAAGTAAACTTCAATGGATTTCCCCTGCTCAGGGAGTAGGGAACAATGAACACTGTGTAGGGATCATATCGATCGGAACACAGTTCATGCACGTAGCTCTCTTCTAACGAGCTGGTTATCTGAATCGGGTGTGTTAACTAAGCGAGACACGCAAAATATGCAGAGTGGGGGGCGCAGATGTGAAGAGACTTTCAACCAGCATTAACAAAAAAAAATTCTGAAGACAATCACCTATTGCACCTTTAAGACTGAAGTAATGGCTGCTGAAAATTCAGCTTTGCCATCACAGGAATAAATGACATTTGAAAGTATATTGAAACAGAAAACTGCAAAATTTTAGTTTGTAATAATAATTCACAATATTGCTGTTTTTACTGTATTTTTGATTAAATAAATGCAGCCTTGGTGAGCATAACAGACTTTTTTTAAATGCATCGAAACTTACCTACCCCAAACTTTTGAATGCTAGTGTGTTTATATATATATATATATATATATATATATATATATATATATATAT